TGCTTTGCACAATTGATGTATCTATGGATTGTGATAAGAGTTGCATGAGCCCCTAATAAAATGATTTAAAATAATAATAATAATTTTATGGTTAGGGAGGTCACCACAACATGAGGAACTGTATTAAAGGGTCGTGGCATTAGGAAGGTTGAGAACCACTGTCCTATAGGGTCGCTACGAGTTGGCATCCACTCACTGGCCATGAGTTTTGAGAGAAGACTTGAGGAAAAGAGATACAAGACACAAGGCCTCCATGCTTCGGTTGTCTTTGGTGACTGTGATAGGTAGGTTTATTGTGCCAACCTGGTCAATAAGAACATATGGTATTAATAAGATCGCAGTTTGATTGGAAGGCAAAGAGATACCGTATATACTCGAGTATAAGCCAACCCAAATATCAGCTGAGGCACCTAATTTTGCCACAAAAACTGCATTAAATATGTCCTGAAAAACTCAGCTTATACTGGAGTATATACAGTAAATGGTTCAGCAAGCCCTGCCCCTCTCCTGCTCTCTGGTGATCAGACCAGCGTGCTGCTGCTTTAACTAGTTCTCTGCCTCAACTTGTGAGCTACACTACTGTGGGACAGCCAACCCGTGAATCGTGTCACTAGAGTTTAAGTTTCCTTTGAAACCTGCTTCGCCATGCTGCTGCTGTGTACATTGCTTGAGCTTAAGGCTGTCAGATCCTGTCATCTTGCATTGCTTGAGTTCAATATCTCATCCAGCCTGCTTCCCTAAGTTCCTGAGCTGTTGACAGTTGGTAACCTGCCCTGCTGTTTGCTGCCTGTGGCAGGACTGCCTGAATTGCTCTACAGAAGACTTAGCTGTCTGCTTCCTTGACCTTGGACCCAGCACCCTTCGCGAGTTGAAGGACTTCCAGTATATTAACTGTTCCATGGAAGTGAGTTGAACTGAGCCCTCTGTACTTCTGTGTGGACTAATTAGCTGTTATACTCCTTTGTGCAAAATTTTGTGTCCTGGTTTTGTTTCTCTAGAGAACCCTGTCTAACACAGTGACAAAAAAATGTTCTTGTAAAGGTTATTGGTAAAATCTATATAATATTGGCCATTTTAAGCCATTTTAAAATAATAAATCACTTTATTGGGGGCTCTTAGAGCTCTTATAACAATCCATACATCAATTGTATCAAACACATTTGTACATATGTTGCCACCAGTGGCATAAATTACATTCACCATGTTGTACAATCACCATCATTAATGCTTTTGTTTCTTAAGGGAATACCTAAGAAAGAATGAGACGTGTGTGTTTGGCATGAGAACTAAAATTTCCATTTGGGGTTGTGATATTATAAATCAAGTTTTATCATTAATTCTAAAATTAAAAAAGGAGGAGGTTGAAGTGTTTCCTTGGTTCTGTAGTGAATTGTCAGCATGGAGCTCAAAACAATTTTTTTTCCTGTTTAATAAGTTTTCAGCTATGTTTTCAGTTCAATAACAGTTGTAAGGGAACTGGAGCTGTAAATCAGTGGGCTGGATTCCATCGTATGTAAATAAGAACAAACAGCAGATGGAAAGGGTGGGGGAGCTTCACAGCTATTTCTTCTCAACCTAGTGAAAACATGAAAAGAAGAGAAACCTCAACTTGGGATCAGGACATGATTAAAATCCAAGCCGACAGACAGCAGGTCCTTTAAATCATTTGCACTAGCAGTTCACAACATTGCGATCTTTACAGGAGGGGCAAGGGTGGAGGGGAAAGCTTGGAAAACCCTGGGGCCTAGGCGTTAGGATGCTAATGTCATCAGTCTAGTGTGTCCTGGGCACTGGAAATTTCCAAAGCTCTCCCAGGTGATTATACCGTGAAGCCAGGCCTGACAGCCTCTGGTCCAAGGGAAGTCACGAATCGGACAGAGAAGGAAACAAAGAGCCACCCCCACAGAACTGAAATGACACTGGGGAGCTTTGGCTATTGGGGGTCCTCTGCAGAAGTGTCCCTTCAAATGCCAAAGGGAACTAACAGGAAATGTAGACACCTTCATTTAAGGGGGAAAAAAAACAAGCAAAGGTCATCTGGTGACAAGGGAATATCTAAAGACTAGATCATTTGCCCCTGCAGTCCTTAGTACCTTGCCACAGAGGTTTATGGCCATAGCATGTGGCAAAACATTTCTGCTAGTCCATGACCTCCTGTGTAACAAGGTCAACGCTAGGAACTGGCTCCACATGTAACTCACTGCCTCACCCAGGTGGTCTCAGCTAAGGGTCATGAGGGCAATCATAGGGTTCCTCTCCATTCCTTGGTGGAGAGTAGAAAGCACATCAAGAATAGGGAAAAAAGCCGAACCCAACACTGCCTAGTCCTGTGCCAGCCTCACCCTTCTCCCTGGGTTTGAGCCCATGGTTGTACTCACAGCGTTTCCTTCTGTGGTACAGAGGGTCGCTATGGATTGGAATCGACTCAATAACATTGAACAACAACAAGAAGTCCGACAGGCCTTTGGTCAAT